GCATTAGATGTAAGAAAAAAACCAAAACCACGCGTATAATAAGTATATGCTATATGTGTAAGTATATATGTATCTACTTTTTAAAAGTTCCTAAGATTAGCTTGTTTATGTATTGGGCATCTTCACCAACTAAATATTCGTGAATTAAACCGTATGTGTCTGTTTTGGGGGTTCACTAACATCAATGACCTGAACTGACACAGGACCAGGCAGGCAAAATCCCCCAGCCTCCACCGGTTGAGGCATGTTTTATAGAGGGCGAGTTGGATTGGCTTCCAAGCTGGTTTATGTCAATTGGATGTCTTTGTGATCATATACTTTAATTAAAACAAATGCAAACGCGTTTCTGGGCCACTAAGATAGCTCGGCAGATAGAGGTGCTGGCTGCCAAGGCCCACAGCCTAGGACTCACGCGGTGGAAGGAGCAAGTGACTCCAGCAAGCTGCTCTCTGAACTATTCTCTCTCTTCGTGTGTGTGTGTGTGTGTGTGTGTGTGTCTGTGTGTCTGTGTGTGTCTGTATGTGTGTATCTGTGTGTGTATGCACGTGTGTGTGTGTGTGCATGTATGTGTGCATGTATTTGTGCGTGTGTGTGTGTGTGTGTGTGTGTGTGTCTGTATCTGTGTGTGTGTCTGTGTCTATCGCTCTCTGTCTCTCTCAATTACAAAGGTAATGAAAATTAGAAAGTTGCTGATTTTTAAGAAAGCTTCAAGAGCTCAGGACCCACTTGGTGAAGGCGAGTCACTAAAAAAATGGCCATGTTCATAAGACAATTTATAAAATAAGAAAAAAAAAATAAATCCTGGAAAGAGTTTGTACTCCAGTTTTTCATTTGGTTAGTGGGTTTTGGGTCAGCAGACATCATCTACAATACAAGTCTACTTTAATGATGTTTAAACAGCCAACCATTAGTGCTCCTGATGACCACACAAAGAACGTTTACAGCTTTACATAATGGCTCACAATTATCAGCTGTTTTCTGGATGCACAGAACTTGCTGGGAGTCTCGATTCATCCTCCGATTCACGATATGAAAGACTGTTATGATTGCCTACCAGTTGAGCCCAAGAAGCCTGACCCCAAGAGCCCGTGCTTTCTCCAGGTAGTTACTAAGAGAACACTTCAATGGCCAAATACTTAGGACTAACTATGTTAAGATAAATTCATATCGTGCCATTCTGCTGACAGTTTGGTTTAATTTGGCAAGCACTGGCTCCTAGCGTATTAATTCTGGTGCATGCAGGCTCTGTCGTCTCACTATTCTTGCTTTCCTTGAGCAATGTGAAATTAGTCATCCTGACCTCTGAGCACATCAACCCCACGACGGGAACAGAATCAAATATGGCCACTGGCCTGCAACTCAGCCCTCAGCCTGAAGGTGCTCTTCTGCCCTCGCTCAGCATGAACAAAGGGAGGAGGGTGGGAGTCAGCTGGACATCTTTTCTTCCAGGTTGTGGGGAATCAACAAATGCCCAAGAACACATGGCTTCAGCAAATCTGAGCAACACACCATATGGCAAGAAAGACTACATAATTTCTAGGCCAGTTATCAGAATCTCCCAGGCTAAGGAATAGTATCCACACGGACCCCCACATATACCACCATTCTCTTTTCTTTCCTTTAAAAAAATATTTGGTTTATTTTTATTTATGTGCTATGTGTCTGGGCATGCCACATGTGTGCTGGTGCCTGCAGAGGCCAGAAGAGGCCATCAGATCCTCTGGAGCTGGAGTCACAGGAGATAGTGGGCCACCCTGGTGGGTGCTGGGAACCAAATTTGTGTCCTCTGGAAGAGCAGCAAATGTTCTTAACCAATGAGCCATCTCTCCAGCCTCCAGACTGCTTTTCATATCTGCAGTAAGATTTAAAGATGAGCAGGAGGCCGTAAACATCAAAGCTGTTGGAAACCACTTATCTACTGACAGGGCTCACTTTAGGAAATGACATTCTTAATGCACTGATTCCTCATCTAAAAGGTTTTAATTACCATTAGCATGATGTAATTATTTACTAAGACGCTCGAATTTATCACTATTGACTCCAATACAGTCACTTTATCATCTTTTAATGAGATTTATGTGTGGTTGCGCACTGAGGTTGGGGGAAGTGTTGGCTTTGTGCAGACAGGCCATGTTTGAGGTATCCAACTCTGCAGTCTAGTTACTGTCTTTTCTCCCCCATTTAGTCCTATCACAAAGACTTTTGCTTCTGACTCAAAAATACCTGCCAAACATTATTATACCAACCCAATCAAGAGGGCAAAAGGAGGAAGAGACACTCCAAGAGCACAATGCTCCAAAGCACACTTCCAGGCCATGCAAATGGCCGAACAAACCGGCCTTTGATTTGCCTCTGAGAAGTCACCACAGCTGTGTGGCTCACACAAAATGGATGATTCAGCTTTATGGGAGGCATGGCCGCAGCTCCTCCTTTACCTCATCCTGACCACAGATGAGGAGAAAGGGTTATCTTTCTCACACCAAAGCCTAGCAGCTTGTAGCAAAACCAGGTGCCAGAATCCCAGCCAAAGGCATGTTTTTTTTTTTTTTTTTTTTTGCCAACATACTGATGCTAGCCACTGTCAGAGAGACAATGAGACCTATGAGGATCCGTTTCACGGGACAAGTACTAGGTAAAAGGATTCGGTAACACACACAGCACAAAGGTGGGGGGCCAAGAATTAGAACCCCACAGTCTGATGTGGGGTTCACACGCTCACGCTCTTTAAGTGCTTCACCCAAGCCCTGAAGTGCCGTTATCAATTCCAGAGAACTTAGAGTTTCAGGTTGAAAAGCCAGAGGGTAGAGCATCTTGCAATAGCTTTTAATAAACAGCCGAAGTTCACCGAGGATTTAATGTTCGGACAGAGCATTGAGGGCCCTGGCATCTTTGGCTCGCTCAGCCCATGCATTTACCAACCCCCACTCGGCCTGCTAGACCCCCGTTTTGAGAGCGGCTTTGAGAGCCTCGGTCTCAATGAGGCCATTATTCATGGAGCCTGACAAGTAGGGTGGTTTCAGGAAATGTGCGGCCCTCTCTCCATGTCCCTTACTTCTCACCAGAGAATGAATGCTTCCATCTTAATGTTTCTATTCACAGTTAAGAACCGCTGTTTCTTTTAAGTGAAGAAAACAGAAATCAAATTAGTACAGGAACCAAAAACCTCATCCACGAGCAATGCATTTTCCACGCAGATTTAGTATAACAGTCAAACACCCTAAGAACAGCAACCACGAATTTTACCTTTCGATAAAAATGTCATAATAGTTGCAGGATAATGATGATATCTGCAGAATAAGAAAAACCTACCCCTCACCCCGGCATTGTAAAGATGCCTTGTTCTGTGAATCAAGAGACCTCGTTTGAAGGTTAACTGGAACACAGTATTTGAAGTGACCACGCAACCAAAAAGCACATTTTAGGCTATTAGCACATTAAAAATCATTTTTATCTTCTTATGATTCCAATCATAGTGTTCATCAGATACTAAATTCCACAGATATTTTCTCATCTGGATCCAGTGAAGTTGTACTGAAAAGAAAGTTTGTGCCCCCACCCCCACTGGCCCCACCCCCCACCCCCTGGAGCGCTACATCGTAGGCTACAGTGGTATCTGCAGGCACTAACGGGAGACACGCGCTGAGGCGCTGAGGTGCTGAGGACGCAGGAGGGAGGAAAATGGATTCCTCTTCGTATCTTCTGGGGCAGCCCATGCCTACAGCTTCCATTTTCACCCCACTGGTCTCTACTTCCTGGTCCAGCTTTGCGAGTTTCCTGTCATCACTGTCTTATTACGTGGCTCCTCAGGCCCCTGCTAGCACAATGCCCAGTCCCCTCCCTACAAAAAACCCAAATGGAGCATGATTTACAGGCACCTTCCGTCAGTCAGCGTTACGGTCCCCAGTTAACCCGTACGGCACCATGTGACATGGGCGCACAGGAGCTGCCATTTCCACTTAAGAGGAAGCAGGTGAAGCGCAGAGAACTCAAGCACTCATCCCGAGGACTCAAAGCAGGTCACAGAGCTGACCCCCAAGGTCCGTGGACTTGCCTTGCTACCATGACACTTTATATATGGATACCTCCTACATTCCTCTTCAAATGGTATGCTTAACTTAGTTTTTAAAAAATTAACAAGTCGCCGGGCTGTGGTGGCGCACGCCTTTAATCCCAGCACTTGGGAGGCAGAGCCAGGTGGATCTCTGTGAGTTCGAGGCCAGCCTGGACTACCAAGTGAGTCCCAGGAA